CATTGCAAAAGTTTTTTTCCCCATTCTGTGGGTTCCCTTTTTACTCTTCTGGTGAAGTCTTTTGATGAACATAAGTTTTTAATTTTTAGTATGTCCCACTCATCTATCTTTTGTTTGTGTAGTTTTCAAAATGTTTGGTAGTCTGTGGATTCCCTGAATTAGTGCCCTCACATTTGTCCCGATGTTTTCATTGATGACCTTCATAATTCTGGGATTCACATTTAGGTGTTTAGTTCATGTTGAGTTTTTGTATAGGGCATGAGGTGAAGGTCTTGTTTCAATTTTTTGCATATTGTTTTCCAGTTCTGCCAGCACCATTTGTTGAAGAGACTAGCACCTCCCCATGAGATATATTTAGGTATTTTGTCAAAAGATTTCTGCTTTCTCTTGAGGGCACAAAAGTTGAGTTTCAATGAAGAAGAGGGTGATAAAGATGTGTATCAAACATTCTATTCCATTGCCTGTGGGAAGGTTTCAGTATGCCAACCTAAATGTTTCAACAGTGTGCAGAGCATGAAGACTTGTCTCACTTTTATGCCCAAATGACTTTCAAATACTTTGATTTCATAGATTTTATAGGAATACAGGTATAGCACTGTAGGATAAGCACTGAACTTAGGACCACAGGGTTAGCAGTTCAAACCCACTAGCTGCTCCTTTGAAACCCTATACAAGACTGATATGAGTTGGAAATGAATTAATGGTACTTAACAAAGGATTTCATAGGTCGCAAGCAAACCCTATATAGCGTCGCTATGAGTGGGAACCAACTAAATGGTACTTAACAACAACAGTAGCTTAGACTGAGGTCCTGGTGTGGTGCTTGAGCATAAGCACTGGACCGTAGGGTCAGTTTAAACCAAAGTCTGTTCAAACATACCAGTGGCTCCTTGGAAACTGTGAGTCTGGACTGATTCAATAGCACTTTGTAACAATATCTTAGATTAAATCCTGGTGTAGCACTGTAGGATAAGTACTGGACTGCTATCCAAAAGGTCTTTTTCTCAAACCAGCGCCTTGAAAACCCTATTCGGTGTCACTATAAGTTGGAAATTACTCAAATGCTCTTCACAACAAGAATCTTAAACAGAGAAGAGACTTTTTCATCTGATTCAACTTCCTAGAAAACTTGAAATTCTCTGAATACATCGTTTGCTCAAAAGCTTAAATACCTGTAAGAAAAGGCAATCCACCGCTTTGTGTAGGTGCCTATTCTCTTTGTGGAAGATGACCACCACTACAAAGTAATTTCTTGCATCAATCCATTGATTTTGACTTCCAGAGCATTATGCAATAAATCATATCTTGCTTTCACATGTAAGTTAATCACACGTATTTTTAAAATATTCCTCTTAGCTGAATATTCTTATTTCCATGTTCTTTATAAAATATACTGCTCAGAATATGACTCAGTACATAGTGTTCCAACAAAGATGCAATAAAGGATCTTCCTTGTCTAGACATTATGCATTTGTTGATGTATCCTCATATCAAGTTTATTTTCTAGCAGCCAAATGATGGTGTTGACTCACACTACACTTGTAATCAACTGCATTCCTCGGGGATTTTTCACGTGTACTGCTGTTAATCACGTTTACACTACCCTGCCTTTGTGGAGTTGGTGTTCTGTGTCCAATATCTGAGTTTTTTTTTATCTTTATTACATTCTATCCTATCAGAGTAAACCCATCATCATAACTTGTTGAGATGTTTTGGGAGTCTGACACTATCAGCGTCTTATCCCTC